AGTACCTTCACAGATTTAAATTTAAAGTATATGAAAAGTTAAGTAAACTTATATTTTGAAACTTATAACACAAAATGTGTTCCTTGAAGTTCTTATTTACGAAAAATGATGTCTAACAAATGATGTCCTCTTACGCGATGACAAATAATGAGCTCTTTAGCACAACGGATCTTGCTATTTGCTTCTTCCTGCTCTTCTTGCTTCAAGTTGCGAAATCGTATGGTTAGAAAAAGCATATCTGACATTAAAATATCGCCGAAAGTTTCTCTGAGTAGAAATAATGCTTCTTCCGTTTTCTAAATAAAAAGATTAAGATCTTTATTCTTTCTTCAGTCGTGTGTCGTTCCATATCAAAGCTTAAAAAAAAAAAAAAAAAAAAGAAAAAAAAAAAAAAAAAAAAAAAGAAAAAAAAAAAAAAAAAAAAAAAAAGAGATTCAATAATTAGTAATTACAGAAAAAATTATTGAACTTAAAAATTGTGAAGGTACTTTTGTTCCACCCAGTGTTCATTGGGCAGATTAAATCAGACGTTTTGCGACACCCTTTAGTTACTGCTTTGGGACAATGTTATTTGCTTCCGAAAATACAATATATAATGTAACAATATGAATAATAAACTTCTTTCTTATGCTTTCGTGACATTCAAATGTTCTAAAACATGATCCTTATATGTAATATCTTATGAGTAAATTTACTTTAATGCTGATTAAATAAGCTACGTTCTTTATCTTAATTGATGATAATGCAATCTCACAGAATTAAGAAGTGAGTTTTTTCTATTTTTTTAAAAAAAATGAATGTAGAAAATTTGTCCTTTACTTTTTGTAATATATATTTGAGCTAAGGATAGTTTTATTCTCCAATTCTTCTCTCTCTCTGTTTTCAGAAATCGGTTTTACTCTGTTCTCAGTTTTACAAATAAATTCAGATAGTCTTGTAATAATTTAATTATAGCAGTGCTGATAAGTAATCATATACTCTGCTAAATAAAATTTCTTTGAGAATTTTGATTAAAATATCAATAGGTAACTCACTGAAGTCACCACTACTGATTCATAGCTAAATTAGTGAAAAATGTTAAATCAGTGACAAATTAGGGCAAAACATTAAACAAAAAAAGAATCATTTTATGATATTTAAATAAACAGTGTGTTATTTTTAAATAAATATACCTTATAACAAGTTCTTTTCCTGCAATACTTCTTGGATATTTAATGATTTCATTTGCTTAAAGACTTATAAATCGCTTTTCTTTCTTGCTATTCAAGTGTGTCATTTAATCCACAATCAGTTAAATAAAATTATATATCAGCATTGATTCCAAATTAATGCTTTTAGTTCTGACTTGCATAAATGAATTTTTTTTTAACTTGTTGCCTATCACTTATGAAGTTAATACTTCAAAGCAATTCCTCATGTTTGATTCAGCTTATTGTACAACTTATTGTATTAAAAGTAGAGCTTCAGCACGTGATTAGTTCTGCATAAGATTCGCATTTTAAAAATATTTCATAGATTAAGTATTACTCAGTTTGCGCTCTTCATATAATCACTTCTTCGCGAAATTTCCTAAATTACGTATAGATTACAAAATATTAGATTAATTTGCTGTTGATATTAACAATTAGTTACATATCTCTGTCGTGTATTATAAAAATGTTGTTTCAGAGTATTAATAATAAATCAAGAGCTTTGTTTCGATAATTACAACTGCTTTAGGGGGTAAAATCATAATCAATAGCAGTTGTAATCATTTAAATCTTTGTTTATGCTAGATTTTACTTAATACAATTAATTCTCTTAAACGTTTCTTAATTTAGACAGTGAAGTTAATTAAAAAATTTTGGAAGGTAATCATTAAATGAGTGAATGTAACTATTAAATGTATTTCCTACTATTAAGAACAAATCCTATATAACATGAATGATAAAATTCAGAGTTTCTTCAAACATGTCTGCTTAGCATTTTTCTCACTTCCAGTATAGTACAGAAAATGACTTACTATGCATGCTACATATTTAAAATTTTACATTAATCTTACCGTTAGAATAATAGTCTGTATAATTAACTTTACTAGGAATAAATTTTTTAATTACCATGTCACTAATCCAAGATTCTAGTTTTTTAAATTAGCAACAAAATTCTGTTTCCTAAACTAGTAACAAATTTGGTTATGTTAAGGCATGTCTGGTAGAATATTTATGTTACAAAATGGATGGTAGAGATAAAAGGTAACTTATAAGTCCCAAGTTTAGAATTTCATCCAAGAACAAATATCGCAATAACGGCTGAAAATATTTTTTACAGTAATCAGCTCCAAATGTTTCATTTTGAATATAACATGAATATTAAGCTTTACAGGCATGATATAAATAGTATTTCTATTGAAATACACGCACAAAGTTGTGCATGCATTTTTATGCAACTTTGCTACTAATAAATAGTTTCTATAAAATGGGTGAAAGCAATTAATTAATTATCGCTGTTAATTTCCACGTGTTGACGCAAATTAATTTTAGTTTAAAAATGTGTACTTATTGCTGAAATAAAGTTGCAAAATTAAGTAAATTTCGTGGCAATGTAAAAAATTATAAGGTATTTCTCCCCTCTTCCTAGCATGCCTTTGTGGTGTAGTAGTCAGCACACTCGACGCATATTCGAGAGGTCCGTGGTTCGAGTCCCGGCGAGGGCATTATTCATTTTTCATCTCTCTCAGCATCAAAAATACTAATGTCTCTACAAAACTGCGAGAAAATTTTACAGTTTTTTGTTTTATGTAAAAATGTTAAAAATATTAAAAGCAATTTCTTTCTATTGATTACATATAAATGTATAGGTCTAACACCTTTCGAGCGGTAAAGTAGCTGTACACTGATAGTTCGGCTTGAGGTTCTAATCCTGGCGAACGGACTCGTTGCATTTCCGTTTTTCGTGTTTTTCCTCATATGCAACGTATACGAACCAGTTTCCCTTAAAACGTCCACCAAGGGGGCATCCTTCCCCTCAAACAGATAGCCCTATAAGTGCTTTGCGATAATCAAATAAATCAAACAAAACAAAACTATATACATATATGTGCTGCAAACATTTTACAGTTGCATGAAAATAGTAACTTTTTAATAACTGTAATATTTTATTAATTATATCTTACAGAATAATACCACATATTATGAGTGTGAAATAAGAAGGAGTGAAAGAAGAGGTTCATATATCTTCCTGTTACAATTACAACAGACACAATACAATTTAAATGTAATACAGCATATATTTTTGCTCCTCTTTTCCAATGAAGATCCAATTAATGTAATGTAAGGAATGTATTAAGAACAGACTTTTACAGAAATGAAACAAATGCTAAAGTTTCTTTCATAATTTAGAGTAGATAATTAATTTTACCTAGAATTCAGAATCGCAAATATATCTAAACAGTTATTAGAGACTTCAAACAGCAGGAATTAACGTTAATTTTTATACATTTGCAGAGCTCATTTTGAAGGTTTGACTGTAGAACATTCTCATTCAGAAGTGAAAAATGACAGAAGTGAAAAATGACCTCTCCAGCTGAATTTCACTCCTGCACACGAATTAGTAGGTTCTGCAGTCAAATCTTCCAAACAAATACTGCAAATTCATGAAACTCAGCTCTGATTGCTGCTATTTGAATTTCATAATAAAATCATTATATAATCTGTTACTTTCACTTGAATATCTAGAAAAGCGGTCTTCAAATTGTCTTCAATTCACGGAACTCCAGTATTATTCGAGTCAAACCCCAGTGATATTCGAGTCAAAATAAACGATATAATAGAACAGTGTTTATTAATTAAAAAATGTAAAGATATATTTAGTTACAGATTAGTTTTAAAATTTAACATGTGGGCACCATATGTCAAAGAGAATGAATGACAGGCAATGCTTTGCAAAGCTAAACAGTTTTCTAACGGAAAATGAATTGAATTTAGACGGCAGTGTTAAAAATTATGAATTGGAGCTTTTTCAGTTGAAGAAAGCTAAAAGATAATTTCACACACACACACACACACACACACATAAAAAAAAAAAAAAAAAAAAAAAAAATCACATTTTATATTACACACAAAGGAGTTTTTTTTAACGTTTTATGTGTTACTTTTATTTATTAAATATCGTATTCTTCCCACTTCAACAGTGATATCACAAAACATTTAAAAATAGAAACATTTAAAAAGAGATCTTTAGAATTTCGGATACGTAGTCTCGTGTGCTGGAGATAATTTTTTTGGGGGTACAGCGTTGCCACTGCTCGCTTTGAAATCGATGAGTTCGTTAATCAGAAATTCGTTAAAATTTTACTAAATATGAAATCGATAATAAAACAAATTCCAAGACCCCCATATTCGAGTTGAGGACTACGTTATGCAAAATTTGATGTCTCTAGGTACCCTTGTTTTTTCACAATGCGAGACACATACATACATTCATGCAGATTCATCATTATTTAATTTCTTTAAATATAATGCGGGACTCTGATATTTGGTGGCAAGAATTTCAAAGCCGTTTTGTAGTGGTAGACGCAAAATCTCAAAACAAAATTAATAGCGTTTTTGGGCAAAGCATTAGTCTACAAAGGTTGAAGACCAATGATCTAAACCAGGGGTTCTCAACTGGTGGTACGCGTACCACTGGTGAAACGCAGGAGAAAAATAGGTGGTACGCAAAGAAGCAAAGTATTTTTAACTATTAAATTCAAAAATTAAAACCGCAGCATCCTAATTGAGTTTTTTCTCCAACACTCGTAAATTTATGCGATCTGAAGCTTTGTTCAAGTGTGGTGGTGATAGTAGTACTTTGTACTGGTGGTACTAAGGTTTTCAATTTTTGTTTAGCTGGTACGCGTCAGTCGTTGAGAACCGCTGATCTAGACAGATTTGAAAAACTTCTGAAATAAAAAGTGTGTTACTGTTTTTTTGTTAAATAAACAATTTATCGGGATATTAAGTCTTGTATTTTTCTATTTTTAGGGAACCTGGAGACAAACCCAAGACGCCCAACTCCACGGGTAGTGCAAAGCAAGACAGTGGCAGTCCATCTGATAACAAAAGTGACCGGCGTCCAGCCTCTTCGGACAACCACAACCACCACCACGGTAGCCAACATGGAGGCCACCACCCCCTGAGCCTCGATTCGGACACCGCCCCTCTCGGTTGCTGCAGCAGTGACAGCTCCAATGGTATGTTCAGCGGTTCGGAGCTCGCTAAACTGAGTCCGACGCACCCGAGCCTGGTGGCAGCGGCGCCGACGCAGGGAGCCAGCGCTGCGGGCACCGGCCACTCCGCGGCGGCTATTGCCGCTGCAGCAGCGGCGAATTTCCGCCTGGGCCCAATGGCGGATTTGTCGGCGGCACTTCCAAACAATCTCATCTCGCACCACCTCAGCGATCTCAGCTTAGGCTTAACGACGCCTGGAGGCGACTACCATCAATCGTTATGACAACAAATGGCCGGCGGAGGGGCTAGCGCGTTGGCTGCCCATCACCAGATGACCAACGCGGTGACCACCGCCGGCAGCGCCACAACAAACCCGATGTGCGTGATAGTTACCAGTGAAGGACTTCTACCCTATCGCAGTCCTCTTGTAAATGAACAGAACTTAGTAATGCATAAATACTCTGATCCTACTTACACACAAAATTGTTTCTTATGAGGAAATACTGTGTTGACGAACGAACCACTGCTGTGGCGTCTAAATCTTGCTGTTCATAAAATTAACGTAACACAGAGAACTAAAAACTTTCTGCATTTTAAAAGCAATAAAGAATGCAATATTCTAATAGTTTACTAAGTAAACAAAAGTGTTTAAAAATTTTAAGAGATTTCTGATTGAAAAGATATGCCTTAAAATGCAGTGCAGTTTCTCTCATGTAAAAATACCCACAGGCGAATACTAACTCTCCTTAGCACGAACAACCCAACATAATTTTCATATATCTTAACATTATTCTTAAACATTGTATATGTCCCTTCAAACTTTTTGCAAATGCTCAGCAATGCGCCGGAAGTTTTGATGTTTGAAAAATTAAAATTTGAGGGAAATAGATTTTATGGCATTTTGTATCAGGGACTGTATATTAAATGCATATTGTTTTGTGCCATTTAAAGTTGAAATCAATTGCAGTGTGAAACGAAATACAACTCACTATTCCGTATTTTTCAAAAATTCATTATTTCCAAATTTATGCCTAAAATTATCATTTATTTCTCATATTTTCCTTAATCTAACTATATAATTAATGAGTTATTAATCAAAGAAAAAGCTAGTATGAAATGTATTATATATATTCAATTATTTGCTTAGTTTTAATTTTTATCGCAATTCATCTGGAATAAATGTTCAGGAAGTTGCATAGTTAATTTTAAAGAGAGAAGAAAGAGATTTCAAACTATGTATTGTTACCATTTTCAAACGATTAAAAAATGTAAATGTAAATAAATATTAATTTCTCTAATTTCATGCTAAATAATACTTAATGAATATAAGAGCATATTATCTGAAAAGTTAATGCAAAAATTGTGATTATCTGGTGTGCAAGAGCTTTCGAATAGTTTGAATTTCAGATTTTTGGTTAGAAATTATGTTTTAGTTTAGTTTCATTTTTTTACTCAATCATTTTTAAGGTAAAAGGCAAAATAAAAGTTAGTAGTTATATCGAGTCAAACTTCTAAAAAGCAAACATTTTATTCCAAGCTTAAATTACCAGAAAATGTGAAGCCGAATGTTAAATCAATTTTCAGTTTTCTTTAATTGCTAATTTGCAATTTATGGAAAAGATCATTCTTCTATTAACCACAATTAAAACTGTGTGGAAGAAAATGATTCGAATTTTTTGTTGGATCAGTGTAAAATTTATTTACCGTAAGGTTAGTAACAGCAATTTTGTTATTTATTCCAAAGAAAAGCATTGTGTAATAAGAAACACGATCGTAATAATTAAATAATCATAAAAGACTATTATTTGACTTATAAATTGACAAATATATACTGTATGGATATAACTAAATAAGAATAACTAATGTGTAATATATAACTGTTTAATATATAAGGAATAGAAGTAGGCAGTTACATTCTAAAATGCATAAGATTATCATTAAATTGGTATTTTAAAATAAATTCCTTCGCATTTGAACTTTGCGTGTTTTACACATTCACAAAAGTATAAATAATTTACTTAGACATATGGTTAAATAACTTCTACCATTCTTCTCTTTTTCCTTCTCCCTTTGCCTGTGCCATCTATTATACATCACAGTATTAATATTTTTTATTTCGCAAACTAGATTAAGATAGTAGACATTCCATGAAATATTTAAGTAACAAAATATTGATAATGAATCTTGTAATCTCTGTTAACACAGTTATGTGAATTGGGGTCCCTTTTGTAAGATGAATATTTTCATTCGTTTGAACCTTCATAAATTGCTTAATTTCATCGAACCACATTTTTTGACAATCTTTGTGATTTCGAATCTCCATGTTTTTGAACTACTTGAAATACTTGCTCTGTTTTGATGAAATGCTTGTTTAGCCATTATGCACTTGAACTCACAATGATCAGCAACGATTCTTCATATGCTTAAGGTTCGGAATCTCAGTAGGATTTCATAGCAATAAGAAGACATTATTCCTTATCTTGTCAACTTTGAGCAGCTTCGTTTATAATTTAGAGAAAAGTAAATAGCCGCTTACCAGAAAATTAACATTGATTACTTTAGAAGGAAACGAAAAGTCCAATATTGAAAGAAAGTAACAGATAAGAAATTAGCTTTAAAAGCTTAGCGTAATTAAAATTCACAAATGGAACTTGAGTAATATGATAAGGAAATTCGACTCAAAAAGGACTCAAGGAATAACGATAAAAATGGTCAAAGTAGGAGACATCAAGCTTGAATTTCTAATATAGCAGAACTAGTCACGTAAATATAAGCTTACCAGATGTTTTGCTTTGACCGGGATTGTCCTGGTTTGATGTGTTTCGAGTCCATGCGCCTCGGCCAGTTTGTCATTTTGTTCCGGTTATTAGAAAATAATTTAATATTAATAATCTAATAATTTTTTAAATTTTTGGTATAGTTTTTTAAAATATAATTTGAACATACAAGAAGCAAAAATAGTGCAGCTTCGGGTTAAATGGCGGTTTGGCAATTAAAATACCCCTCTGTTACACTCACTGTTTCCGTTCTTAACATTTTGTATTTAGATCTGAGTACTTTTAATGTTGTCTAGATGTTCTTACCCAGAATGATGAAGGTGCCTTTCTTACACTGCTGGGGAATAGTCTTCGTGGATCACTTATGGGAAAACAGTTTTGGTGAATCACAATCTTTTATTGGTGTAAACTTTTATTGGTGGATCACGATCTTTTATTGGTATAAACTTTTATTTTATTGGATTTTTCATTGGTATAAACCAGGACTTCTTAAACGTTTTTCTGTCGCAACCCCTTTTTATAACCGAGATTTTTTCGCAACCCCCAAGACCTTATTTACAAAAATTTTGTGGGATCCCATAAGTTTTGCGCAAATCCGACACACGCGTGAGTGGAACTGTCAATTTTTTCCCTTGTACTGTAATATACTATTGCAGTTTTAGGTCATTAACTTTGATTTCTAATTGTAGGACATAGAACAATGTGAAAATTTTAAATAAGTAACAGACTCATTGACAGCATCACGTGCAAAGCAGGGAAAATGAACGTTTATAATATAAAAAGAATGCGTTGAAACGTTTTCGTTTTTTTCTTTGTCTGTATTGTCTTATTGTCTTATCTTTATCTATTTTCAGACAACGTGGTGTAAAAATATTTGGTAATTGTAAAATTATTATAATAAGTTAAAGAGATATCAAAACTGCTAAAATTTTTGGCGAACCCCTGCTGCAGGTCCCGCGACCCACAGTTTAAGAAACCCTGGTATAAACAACAGTGAATTAACAAGATCTGAAACTGAATCATCAGAAATTTCTATGATTCAGATGGAAAAAAATTTTTAGATGGAAAAAAATTAATGAAACTGTCGAACATAATACAATAAAAATTTGGATCAACGTTTTGATCAAGTAGTACCTTCAAAAGTTTTCTTTGTCAACTAATTATAAAATTTGGAAAAATGAAGGTTGTAAAAACAAATTAACGTAAATTTTCAATCCCTTAAAAGAGAAAAAAAAATCACTGCCCAATATAGCTCAAAAGTAGAATAATTTTCAGCATGCCAGGAATATTGGCACCAATCGAAAGATTATTTTCAGTACTAAATATCATATAGTCCGAAGAAAATGGTAAAATATCTGACTCACACCTAAAATTAACAGTGAACTAAATTTCAGTAAATTTTTCGATGCCTGAGTTATTAAAAATTTCTTTGCATTCATTATTTGTACTCTCGTTCTCCGATGATCGGATTTTTTAGCTGGATCTTCTTCGTAACAGGGATGTACGTATACAGTTATATAGACAAATAGGTAAACAGACAGTTAGCTACACATTTATATGAATAGGCTGAAGAGTAAATAAATAGACTAAGAGATACATAGGTAGATATTTGGCTGATGCTGCGAAATAATAGACATTGTTTGACATTAATGAATTTATTATTTACATCATCTCTCTCGTGCTAATAGAAATTTCTCATATATCTTCCTTTTAGCCACTCCCTCTGATACATCTGTCGTTCAAAACCCTACATTAAAATTTCATTTTTATCGTTGCCAGAACGAAATATGAAATAACATGTCGCCAACGAATTCATTTTCCTTTAAAAATTACTTAATTAATAAATAGATCTCATGAATACGAATAATATTTAAATGATAAGGGTGATGACAACGAATTTTATAAAATATAAGTAGATTTGTCCTCCAGTTTTTTCCAGTTCTACGTCAGTTCCTCTCGCAAATCTTTCGTCTCTCACGAAGAAAACGCTTTTGAAAGAGTTTTCACTTAGAGGGAACTTTACATTGTTGCTATTTGTTAATGAATGAAGTCTTTATTTAGATTTTTTACTCATATGTACTTATCCTATAGGTTTCATGCTCTGTTTTGAGCATTTGCTCAGAATTTTTCCTGTTTGAGCAAAAAATATTATGATAAGACTAATGTGTTCTGTTATGCCCTGTGTGAGATTAGTTTAAATGTTGCTTCTTATTGAGAGTAGAGAAAGAATCTAGTGAAAAAATCAAGTTAAAAGTATTTGTAGTAAATTCTATTTTTTTGGACACGATAAATAATACAGGTGGACAAACTAAGCCAATAATAAAATATCCCTTAATATTGGTAATAACGTAGGATAGGGAATCCTGCTTTACTTTCAATAAATAAAAATGAGGGCATCTTAGCGGCGAAGGAGCGTGTTATAGGATAAGGTTTTCAGTTCCGTTTTATTATATAAAACAAAGTTAAAAAATTCCTTAAATCTGCTATAGTAAATCGTTTAGCCATCTAAAACATTTTCTATCATCCGATATTTTAGATTCGTACTTTCTTACACAAGGAAGTGTTCACGTGAGGTGAAAATTTATTGCCTCTTCTCTAGTTATAGGAAGAACACATGACACCAGAGCTCTTAATGCATATTCAATACAGTGAAAAATTCCGTTACTCGCTGCTAGTAAAAAGCATATTTCACGCGATGTAACTTACATGGCAATGATTATTTATTTTCGTTTTATAAATATCCATTTTTTTTCATCCGTAATAGGTGGGAAAAATTACAGTTATTATTTCAGAAATCTTACTCCCATTGCGATGTAGTTTTTAAATGTTTTTGAATACGGTTTCCATTAAATCTGCTTTCGTTTAGAGCTTTTAAAATTCAGAAAAAAAAAAAAAAAACTTTTAATCATGGTAAGGAATTTATCAGTAGTTAGCTAACGATACATTTATTCCTACTGCTAGTTAATAATCGACTTGATTTCCAATTACTGTAAAAGATAAATCGCAAAACTGTATTATTGTAAAACAATGCAAAAAAGAAACTTAAATATAAAATTTATTATACCATATTTCCTTACTTGTTCTCCTCTTTTTTTAACTAATTTTATCGCCCGAAAATCGACTGGGGAAAATTATGCGAATAATTTATCTTCCGAAGAAAACTTTTACAGTAAAAGCATAATAAATGAAAAGTAGTCATGAATAAATTACTTTTAATATAAACCCGGAAATAATATCCGGAATAAAAGACCCGGATTTCGAAAGATGCAACATATCAGTAGCGGGTACGCCTAAAATAAGCTGTAACATAAATAAGAGAAGTAAGGTGAAATCACATGTTTGGAAAGTTTCCTAAGTGTGAGAACACTTTCCAGGTCTGCACGAAATATGTTTGAAATCTCCACAAAATATATTTCAAATAATAAATGCAAGGGAAAATAAAATGGATGAAATGCTGATACAAAAATGCAAACGGAAATTGAATAAACTGAATAAAAATTAAAATAATCAGAGGAATACAATTTACCAATAAATAAGTCTCACAGTGAAAAACTACTCCTAAGAAAGGAAGGGGGAGTTATTCAAATATTTTTTAAATTTTCAGAACCTACCCCTAAAAGTGCTAGTAAGGGAATTCGGTATTAGTAGAAGAATTAGGTAAGGATTTCTACTAATTAACAAGTCTAACTGAGTGTCACAAAGTTTAATTCGAAATTAATGTTAATTTCTTATGTAAGTAGATTTTTTCCCTTTAGTCCTTTCAGTTTGGCCTTACCTAAAATTATCGGTATTTAAATTACTCTTATTATTTATGACAATTTTTTATGGTTAAATTTTACTTCTGTTATTTTGTTTGAATAATAAATTTAGGACTATTAAATTTTAATTCATAATTTCATTTTTTTTTTCAGAAATGGATGATACACGTCATGCAGACTATAAGCTTATAGAGCACTTTTTTGTTACTTATTCATATTTTATTTTCCTAATTGTATTTCTTATTTTCTTTAACGGTTTTGAACCTTGATCTGAAAGATATCTACAGAAAAACAAAACAATGCATTAAATGCCATACATATAATTTCATTTTAAGTAGAACATTAAATTGTTTTCCAATGCGTTATGCATAATGACAGCATAATAATACAGTGTATATCTGACAATAAAGTGCACAATAATAATACATTGATAATACAATGCATATCTGAAATCATAGTGGAATCCGATGAAGTATAAAATTTTAAAATAGCTATTCAGACACAACTAGTTACTGCTATAAATATTTTAGTGTTCTTCAAATGTGAACACTTCAATCTTCATGTAATCTTCAGATTTCAAGATATATATACACATACATTTTTTTATGATCATCAATGTACAGGAATCTACAAAATTGGAAAATTACTGTCATTCTTAAGAACCCTTAAAATAAACTGATATTTTAATACATAAACAAGACTACAATAGGATATTTCCGCAAGAACACAGAGCAGTTAATATCATTACATTTTAATTACCAGTATAAAATTTAAGCTTATAAAATAAGCTAATATTTTTCGCAAAACGCATGTCGCAAATTTGTTAAAATCTGAATTAGTCCGAAACGATTTCATAAAAACTTCAAATCTGAGGTTTTGCAGTCATTTTCACTTTCTTGTTGTTTAAGCTGACGCACTTTTTTATTTTCTCTCACTTTCTTTCTTTTTCTTTTCGTTTTTTAATTTCTTTTTTCCTTACTCCACAAGCACGCTAATTAGAATGAAAAAAGTGGACTTAATTTTTAAAATAGGAAATGACGAAAGGTTTGAACATCAATGCCACTAATAACGATGAAATTATAAAAATTAAGAAGAAAATGGCAAACAATGTGAAATAATTAAATTAATTGAATACAAGATAAAAAAAAAGAAAATTAATTAAAAATAACATTTCTGTAAGCAATAATTATTTAATTAGAAGGCTGGTTTCATTCACGAAAAATCTCACGGACAAAATTTCGTCCTTAGTTCATAAAACAAAAGTATAAATATTCATTTTAAACTTTAGCGAGCCTTACTTTAAATTATTAACTAATACAAAAATATGTTAGTTAAAATGTTAATTAAAATGTGCTATAATATTTGTCAATTAAAATATGTTATATGTTATAAATTCAATAAAACATGTTTTTTAATTGAATAGTGAAACTTCATATTATCATCTGTTTTTCAGTTTCAAAGCACTAAAAAGATTACTTGTGCTAAATTAAATGGTTTATTACACATTTTTTTAAATATTGCAGTTTTTATACAGTCCCTACAGAATCTTAGTTCATAATTCCTTAGCATGGTAAAAACATCTAAAGACAAAAATAAAAGAAGGAGAGGAAGAACTTCGAGAAACTTTAAAAAAAAGAAAAAAAATGAGTGTTCTAATCACACTTAGTGTTTCACGTCTTCTAAGATTTGGTAGAGTGAACCTTAGTGCTTCTAAAAAACTTTCAAAGTGTATCGTGAGGCAAATTTTCTTGTTACATTCCAAAATATAAAAGATAATGATTGTGTATAGCTAGTCACTGCAATCTATATATGGACTTGGAATGCACGAGAATTCGATTCTTATGTGATAACAATTAATGACTCATTTATGATGTAAGTGTAAAGAATGACGAAATAAAATAAATGATTAAAGACTCTG